TCGACTCGACTTGTTTCAGATACGCCCATCATTCGAGACGATCCCAAGTTTATATCACGCAAGTTCCAATGGCTTCCGAGTGAATTCCGTGTCGAACAGGATGGCAGTGTGACCATCAACTCATACATCAACAATCTGAATCCGATATGGCATCGAGACATGTACAAATGTATTGCCAAAATATTCAAATGTTTTGTCCCGATGTTTGAAAGTCTGTTCAGAACGATACATCCAATGTTCAAGTATATTGATATTCACAATGGCATAAAGGGATATAAACCACCAAACCGATCAGATCGTGGTGGTATGGAATCAGACACTCAAGTCATTCGTCCCGTGTATGTACCAACACTTCCGGAGCATTTCCAATCCAATTATGAATCAGCAAAGCCAGTATCACTGCGTGGTTGTAATCTACAAGTCATTGTCAAACTCACCAACATTCAACTGACACCATCCAAACCTAAATACGACGAGGGAAACTGGCACAATGAAGGTCCACGTAACGAATCGATTGTTGCAACTGGACTGTATTACTACGACGTGGAAAATATCACCACACCCAAACTCGATTTCCGCGAGGCTGTTAATCGGTTTGATCAAAGAGCATCTGGTACGTATTGGAAAGATGTGTATGACATTAATCTAGAATCGCCACGCAATCAGTATATAGGATCGCTTGAAGTACCAAATGGTCGATGTGTAGTTTATCCCAATCGATACCAGCACAAGGAACAATCATTTGAACTTGCAGATCCAACTCAACCAGGACATTGCAAGATTCTGACATTTTTTGTAGTGAATCCATCTCGTCGGATTGTTTCGACTGCGCATGTGGCTCCACAACAACCACAATGGTGCAACTCGAGTCTTGACAAGGCACACGTACCACCTGAACTGTGGAATGATATCACGCAGTATATTCAAGGTGTTCAATCGCCAGCTGAAGCCAAACACTATCGAGATGAATTGACAAGCGACCGAACTCGAATTGTAAAAGCATACAACGAAGACATATATGAGCGGGTGTACTATCTTGATTGATTGTGAGGTTGTGATTTTACAACAATGAGTTGCAATGCCAGTCGGATCGAATAAATTGAATGAATTGAATCAATCATGTCAATCATGACAGTGATTGTTGATTATATTGACTGATTGTGTACAATTGATTGATACAAGTGATATGGATGCATCATTCGGTGTTGTTGAATCAGATCATTGCTTGATTCTGTCAATGTGATCAAATGGATTACTACAAAACTGTGCATGCTCAAGTTGAATCAAGTATTGAATCGAGTATTGGATTGATATTTACACACAACCACAATTACAACCACAATTGCAATCAGCACAGTCTGAATATTAGACATTTGAACATCACATATCGAGTCATGGATAAATGCGAGTTGGCATATTGGACTGTTTTTGTAGTTTATTAATGATTTGATTCACGACTGTTTGAATTCAAGGCTCAATATGGATTACAACTGGATTGTCGTTGTTTCCATTTGGAATGACAAATCTGTCAATGTGTTGATTGATTCCTAGTTCATTGATCAGTAATTGTCCAGTAATTGTTCAAATCAAAGTTGTATCCGAGTCGAGTTGTCAATCAGGATACCATAACCTGACATCCAAACGATTATTCAAACGATTGTTGAAACCATCAATGATTGCCAGAATAAGCTTTACGACTCGACTGCAATAACCACCACAATCATGGTCAGGTTAGTATGTTGATCCGTTTACAAAGTTCCAATACTGCAACAGATTCAACATACTCTTGAAAGTGCTGCACACCACATGGATCCAGCAAACCCACTGATGAATTGAACCAATCAATTGACCAATGACATGACTCGATATTGGACATCGAGTTGCATACAGTTGGTAAAAAGTCACCGACATGTTCAGATAGTCAAACCTTGACTACAGGTTGATATCATCACCCAACACACCAAATACAACACACAATTTGGACGATTACTGGATCATATTGTGGATATCAATCAACGTAGCTACTGGTTCCAAACAATCATGTACAATCATGTACAGTCATTACAGGACAATATGATACATTTATGAATAGCATGTTGGAATCAACACGAGTGGAGTTGTGCAATAGACTTGATATGGTTTGCAATGGTTTGATATGAACATGATGACCCGGACTCTATTCAGTCGGATCAACTCGACTACAATTGGCCGTGTATATTATGATTAACACGAACAATTGCAGTCGAACTCGAATACAGATTGACTGTTGAATCACAATGCGTGGTATCAGCAACATGATGTGATATATAGTGGAATGTATACGCTAACCTGACATGTGTCATGTAGTGTGTATTCGATCAATATGGGTATTATCAATCAACAAGTCATACGATGTTTGTGTTCGAGTGATGGAATGGAATACAATGGAGTGGAATGGAATGAGTGCATCAATCCAGAATACG